AATTATGTAATCTATTTATTTTGGTATATTTGCAAACAACTATTCTATATTTGCTTTTGGTCAGTTTAATGCTTTTTATCATATATAGCATGTTACCAAACCTGATCATCTACAAAAATTTTACAAACATTGGTAGTAATTCTGGTAAATATACTTAATTAATGTGATTTACATAAAAATATGTTCTATTTTATGTTTTCGTGGAAAGATTGGTAGCTCTTTGTATTGTTCTGGTTAACATTTCAGTAAATATGTCAATTTATTTAAATGCCGTACACTATTGAGGTGAATCAAAGTATTTAAAATATTTTAAGGGTCCATATTTTTAAGTGCACCTAGTTTGTACTTATTTAGTTGCCAATACAAATCTTTGTTAGCAGATAAGAGAATGTGTATTGTTAGAATTATTTGTAAGAATAATTTTTTACAATGTAATTTGCCAAATAAAACCTAAGTCAATTATATCGTTACTATTAAATTAGCCATTGAAAACCTCATCTAATCCTCTTCAAATTGCCTATGTTGTATGTTAAAAAGAAGATTCGCTGTGAGGATCAAAACGTGCAGTAATAAAAAAGAGGAAGATTGTTTATTATATCAACGTGGATAATAGCAGATGCCTTGGTCAAACATGCATTACCTATCAAGTTTAGAAAATCAATAATATTTTACCGATATCAGATATAAACGTCTGTAATAAACATAGTCTCAGATTAAAATGTCAAGTACTTATCCTTTAAATAATGGCAAACCAAACTTCTTCAAAAATGATAGTTTTATTTAGAGTCCAACAGAATTTTTATAAAACCTATTAATAAAATAAGGTCAAACCATGCTCTAAAACTTTCAAGAAACTACAAAATGAATCAGACAGTTCAAACTGTATCTTTGGAAAATACATAAATGAAGATTTAACACACATTCTATTAGAATATGAAAAATAACAAGAAAATATTGCAGGTTTTTATGAAGACTAGATGTCTACTTCACTTAAATGAATTAATTTTCTCTGGAAACAGAAATCTTTAAAATTAAATTAAAATAACAGAGCCCGGCGTAGAGATCTGGGTACGGTTCTGTGACTACCACTTGGACCTGTTTGTATCGCCAAGCACAAGGCGTGAAATCCGGCAATTGTGCATTCCTATATTACCCGTACTGCACTCTTAGTGTGACATTTTCTATAGATCTGACCAAACAACTATTAAAACTAATCCAAAAAATAATAAAAACAACAGCAATCCTCAAGAATGGAGATCAAGCATCTTAATACCAAACTCATAATAAATGAACTGAATAAACTAAAACACTAGCAGAAAAACAACAAGGTTTTAGGTTGGGAAGATCATGTCATGCACCGACGCTATATTTATAGTGAGGCAAGTGCAAGAGAAATCATTAGAATAGAACAAACCGGCATATCTACGTTTCGTGGACCTTAAGAAGGCATTTGACCGGGTCAAATTGAAGGACGTTATCCACTTATTGTACGCAAGAGAGATACCTCTTGGAATCATCAAAACGATCGAAAATACCTACCAAAACAACACAATAAAAGTAAAAGTGGAAGAAGTACCTACATTGCTCCTAAAAATCTTTAAAAATTGACCAAATCAATTACCGAATTTATTTTTCAACGGAAAACAGTCATGCTACATTTGTAAAGACCAAGAACATCTAGCATCTCAGTACACAAATATCGATCGAAAATACACCGTCTACTTTTCAACCCAATTTTACTCAAAACTGTCACCCCAATCAATACATTCATCCAATTATCCATTCTTCACAATCTATACAACAATCGACTAGTACAACGTCGGAAGAAATGACCAATATTCCTTCATTAGGTTCAAAACCCACACAAGCTCTTATCCAGCCAGATAACGTTGAAGTGAATAATCTTAACCAAAATCAAGCTCAGACATCATTTGACACTCAATCGTCCACACGAACGAAATAAGAAATAATGACTCCTCCGACAACAGTAGACTAGAACCCATTTAAAGAACCTACAAGTAAATCTAAGAAACCAAAAATTGTATCTGAAGATAATAGGAATTTAGCAGATCTTATTAAATGCACTAGTTCTTCTATCAGCACTAACTACCAGATATCTTAAAAGTCGTACTCAATTAAAAAATTAAATTACGAAACAGTATGCAACCTACGTCTCTAGTAATCAGAGCAACGATACCTTTGCTGATACTCACTAGAACATTACTGCAGTGGAATCTAAATAGGTATAGGATGTCTGTCTGTGATTTGCTGTTGACCATGGTGAGTGTTCTGAGAGAATTTGTATTTTTTCATGTTCTGGATATCCCCTAGTTTCCCCCAGTTTCAAAAAATAACTTTCTGAGTCCGTAACATGTTCAATCGACAAATTTACAGTAATCACATAGTTGCAGCCTCTAAGCTATGTTTTCAGTTGATCAACGGGTATTTATTTGGTTATCTTATTTACCTCTCTCTCTTGTCGTTTCCTCATTGCTGAGGATCGTGATTCCCTACAATGCGGGCTGTCAATTCTCTCCATCTCTTGCGATTTTGGGCTGCTCTTATGGACTCGGAAAACGTCTCTCCAGTGGCTTTCTGTACTTGATCTGACCATCGATAGGTGAGCGTCCTCGGCCTCTACGTCCTTCTACGTTTCCGCACACAATTAGTCTTTCTAAGTTGTCATTGTCTCTTCTCGCAATGTGGCCAAAAAACTTTAAAACATTTGCAAGACACTGAGAGGAGAGTCTGGTCTGAATGTTTAGCTCTTCGAGAATCGACTGATTGGATCTGTGCTCCGTCCACGAGACGCGTAGCATTCGTCTCCAGCACCACATTTCGAATGCGTCAATCCTTTTCCTATCCTCTGATTTTATTGTCCATGTTTCGGCACCGTAACTAAAGATTGAAAAAACGAGTGTCCGTACCAGTCTCATTTTGAGTTTTTTTGGACAAAGAGCGGTCCTTCCATATTTTAGACAGTCTACCCATCGCGTGCTTGGCCATTCCTATTCTTCTGCGAATTTCCGTATGGCAGGAGGCTGCATTGCTTAAGGAAGATCCTAGATACGTGAACTCGTCTACTTTCTCGAATTGATTTAGGGCGCCTGTTGTTTGGAGGATATTCGCGTGGTCCACAATCATGATTTTTGTTTTCTGGTTATTAATCTTGAGCCCACACTTGTTGCTTTCGGTTTCTACTCTCTTTATAAGTCTCGACATCTCCTCTTCAGATGTTGCTATCAGTGTTGTATCGTCTGCGAATCTTAAGTTTGAGATCTTTTTCCCTGCAATGGAGATGCCGCCTCTCCATCCATCGAGTGCGTTCCTAATTATGTATTCTCCATATAAATTGAACAGGTCTGGAGATAGTATGCAGCCTTGTCGTACACCTCTGCTGGTTTTGAAGGTATCAGATTGCTGGTTTTCAATTCTTATTTTAACTGAGTTATCTTCGTATAAGTTTTTAATTAATATTGCCAAATGATCTGGAACTCCCATCTCATGAAGAACTGTCCAGAGAACTTCCCACTTTACACAATCAAATGCCTTTTGGTAGTCTAGAAAACAGATTATTATTGGAATTTTAAATTCGCGGGCCTTTTCTATGAGCTGCCGCATATTAAGGATTTGCTCTCTCGTACCCTTCCCTTTGACAAAGCCTGCTTGTTCTTGGGGAATTTGGTTGTCTAAGTACTGTTGCAAACGGCGTTTAATGATTCTTAGTAATATTTTGCTTGGATGGGAAATCAGTGAGATGGTAACTACACTTTGTAGTTGTTCCTTTTTTATGGATTGGTATGCACAATGATGTGCGCCATTCTCTGGGCCACTTTCCGCATCTCCAAATTTTATTACAAAGTTTCCACATTATGTAACATCCTTTGTCTCCCATGTTCTGAAGGAGCTCTCCCGTGATATCATCGCAGCCAGGGGATTTATTCTTCTTGAGGTGAGTTACAGCTTCTTCAATCTCGGACAGCAGAATTTCAGGTTCAGGGTTGTATTCAGTGTTTTCGAGGGCTGAAGTGTGGCCTAGATTTACGTGTTCTTCCCTGTAGAGCTCTGAACAATAGTTTTTCCATGTTTCCAACACTCTGTCGATATCACTTATGATAATACCATGTTTGTCCTCTATTGCATAGTTCTTGGGTTTAAATTCTCTCGCAAGAATTTTCACTTTCCGGAAGAGGTCTTTGGTTTCATTTCGATATCCGTGATTTTCTATTTCTTGGCAGATTTCAGAGATGTATTCTTGTTTGTCTTTTCGGCATCTTCGTTGAATATCTCTGGAGAGAGCTTTATATGTCTGTTGATCACAGGGGCCAACTTTAAGTTGGTTTCTTTGTTCAATCACTTTGTTCATCTTATTTACCACTGTCCTATAATATGTACAAATAAGTCGAATAATGAAACCTCCATCTCTTATTAGTTACGTATTTAAAGTCTAACTGCTACAGCAATTTTTATACCACAGTATTTGGTTCTGGTGGTTACCTAACACTTCGTCTTGGGGCTCTATATTTTGGTATGGCAACGTCACCAAAATCTTCCTTCCGTTAGATTTATCTTTACATTTCGCTCCTCCGATGATAGTGATATCTTTTCTCTACTGCTCTTAATATTTTAAAGGTGACATGATTTAAAATCTTCGCTAGTCATTGTTTATCCGAAACAGGTGTAAGGCTTTCATTTTGACCTTTTAACTGGTACTATTTTTTATCTACGAAGCGTTCTGGTTTAGGAGTAATAAAAGTCACTCTTGATAACATTTAACTTTATTATCACATTAGAGAGAAGTAATAAAATGCTTTTTGACTTAGGTAAGGTTGACTTCTCTTAACAAATTATCAATTCACAATATAACTAATAATCAAACTTTAATAATATAATTAAAACTTATTATAGTATATTATAAAAATTTATATATTATTAATAGTATTTGTACGTTATATTGACTTCTTTGACTATTTAATAATAAAAAATAAAAATAAATATAATTAAAAATATTTATTGATGAGACAACTCGAAAAACTTTGGTTCTGCTGTAGGACGGATGTTACATCTCGTCCATCAAGTCTATCCATCCAGTCTTCTTCTTTTTCTCGTCCATCCAGTCTTTCCATCCAGTCTTCTTCTTTTTTTAGGTTTATCCTAAAACAAAACAGTAAATACTGATAACAGTTGGAGTTTGATATTGGAGTTGAATGGAACCGAAATTTAATATAGAAGGGGTAGCTGATCTCTGATATATCTAAGTCTAGGTCAACAAGGCTGAAATTAAAAGGTCTATATTTATAATGAGTTGCAAATATAGCATGAGAACGGTTGAAAAAAGTTGTAAATTATTTTGGATATCCGCAATATGAAACAAAACTTACCTCATAAGTGTGCGTTTAAAATGAATTCTAACTCTTTCAGGACTGAATTCGATTCTTCCACTTGAGTTTCTACAGTTCTCTTTAGAACATTTACATGGAAAATTAAATCTATCTACTTGACATTCGATTCCCGCCTGACTACAGGAACAAGTATCAGGATTACAATTTTCTTTACATCCACATCCACATAACATTCGAGATGTTCGAATTTTCCTACACTCGTCATATTCTGCCGAATCTATCCTTCTCACTCCAGCAGCTCGTAGAAGAGCTTTTCGTTGGGGTATACGGACTGGTTGTAATACATTTACCTTGTTACTGTCTGTACCTTTGCATGCTGTATCCTTAAAATTCGATTCGTCGTTACATATTGTTTTTTTACCATTTTTATGAGAAAGACGTTTTTGTATGAACTCTCTGCGCTTTCTTTTTTGCTCCAAGACATGCTCCGCTACAGAGAACGTCTTTTTATCAGAATGGTGAGCTTCCATGCCTAAGGTGCAACCACCCTGTGTGGGGATGGAAGTAAAGCCTTGCACTCTGGGAAAATCGAAGATGGTAACACTGTCAAAAGTAATGCCTTTTCTTTTTTTAGCTGGTGGCTCTTCGTTTTCCTCCACAATTCTCTTTCGCTTTAGAATGCTTTTTGTCTGGTTATTTTTAAATTGTACCTTGCTAATGTTGTCATTACTATCAAATCTTTTGAATTGTGTACTTTCTATATTCTCAACTACTGGTTGTGTTTTTTGTCCACATAACTCTGAACCTAACGCAGAAACCAAATCGTCTTGACCGTTGTGGAGTTCTCCAATTAACTTTTCAGTAGGCAAAGGACTTTTCATTGCAGAATCTCCGCTATTAACGCTATCTGCAATTGTTATTTCATCACCTAATATTACTTTGATATTTGATTCCAGCTGTTTGTCGTTTGTACTTGAAGGTAGTTCCTTTAATTCTTCAATACTGTTTTGGTGATTACTAAAATTCTTTAAACCCATTTGGACTTCAATTAACGTTTCAGTCGTAATATGATTCTCCATCTCCACTGAAGAATTTTCCTTATTATTGTTATCTTTAATTGTTATTTCATCACTAAAATCCACATCTTTGATATTTGATTTCAGCTGTTCGACATTTGCACTTGAAGGTAGTTCCTTTAGTACTTCAGTACTATTTTGGTGGCATGGAGAACTATTTGAACCCATTTGGACTTCAGTTAACGTTTTAGCATGCAGAGGACTTTCCACTACAGATTTTTCTTTATTATTGTTATTTGCAAATGTTATTTCATCACTAAATTTTATCACTTTGATAGTTGATTTCAGCTGTTCGACGTTTGTATTTAGAGGTAGTTCCTTTAACCCTTCAGTACTATTTTGATGGCAACTAGAACCATTTGAATAAATTTGGACTTTATTAAAGTTTCAGCATGCAGAGGACTTTCAGTACAAAATCTTCATTATTATTGTTACCCGCAATTGTCATTTCGTCACTAAATTTTATTAGTTTGATAGTTGATTTCAGCTGTTCGACATTTGCACTTGAAGGTAGTTCCTTTAGTACTTCAGTACTATTTTGGTGGCATGGAGAACTATTTGAACCCGTTTGGACTTCAGTTAACGTTTTAGCATGCAGAGGACTTTCCACTACAGATTGTTCTTTATTATTGTTATCTGCAAATGTTATTTCATCACTAAATTTTATCACTTTGATAGTTGATTTCAGCTGTTCGACGTTTGTATTTAGAGGTAGTTCTTTTAACCCTTCAGTACTATTTTGGTGGCAACTAGAACTATTTGAATAAATTTGGACTTTATTTAAAGTTTCAGCATGCAGAGGACTTTCCAGTACAAAATCTTCATTATTATTGTTACCCGCAATTGTCATTTCGTCACTAAATTTTATTAGTTTGATAGTTGATTTCAGCTGTTCGACATTTGCACTTGAAGGTAGTTCCTTTAGTACTTCAGTACTATTTTGGTAGCATGGAGAACTATTTGAACCTATTTGGACTTCAGTTAACCTTTTAGCATGCAGAGGACTTTCCACTACAGATTGTTCTTTATTATTGTTATCTGCAAATGTTATTTCATCACTAAATTTTATCACTTTGATAGTTGATTTCAGCTGTTCGACATTTGCACTTGAAGGTAGTTCCTTTAGTACTTCAGTACTATTTTGGTGGCATGGAGAACTATTTGAACCTATTTGGACTTCAGTTAACGTTTTAGCATGCAGAGGACTTTCCACTACAGATTGTTCTTTATTATTGTTATCTGCAAATGTTATTTCATCACTAAATTTTATCTCTTTGATAGTTGATTTCAACTGTTCGACCTTTGTATTTAGAGGTAGTTCCTTTAACCCTTCAGTACTATTTTGGTGGCAACTAGAACCATTTGAATAAATTTGGACTTTATTTAAAGTTTCAGCATGTAGAGGACTTTCCAGTACAAAATTTTTATTATTATTGTTACCCGCAATTGTCATTTCGTCACTAAATTTTATTAGTTTGATAGTTGATTTCAGCTGTTCGACATTTGCACTTGAAGGTAGTTCCTTTAGTACTTCAGTACTATTTTGGTGGCATGGAGAACTATTTGAACCTATTTGGACTTCAGTTAACGTTTTAGCATGCAGAGGACTTTCCACTACAGATTGTTCTTTATTATTGTTATCTGCAAATGTTATTTCATCACTAAATTTTATCACTTTGATAGTTGATTTCAGCTGTTCGAGGTTTGTATTTAGAGGTAGTTCCTTTAACCCTTCAGTACTATTTTGGTGGCAACTAGAACCATTTGAATAAATTTGGACTTTATTTAAAGTTTCAGCATGCAGAGGACTTTCCAGTACAAAATCTTCATTATTATTGTTACCCGCAATTGTCATTTCGTCACTAAATTTTATTAGCTTGATAGTTGATTTCAGCTGTTCGACGTTTGTATTTTGAGGTAGTTCCTTTAACCCTTCAGTACTATTTTGGTGGAAACTAGAACCATTTGAATAAATTTGGACTTTATTTAAAGTTTCAGCATGCAGATTACTTTCCAGTACAAAATCTTCATTATTATTATTGTTACCTGTAATTGTCATTTCGTCACTAAATTTTATTAGTTTGATAGTTGATTTCAGATGTTCGACATTTGCACTTGAATGTAGTTCCTTTAGTACTTCAGTACTATTTTGGTGGCATGGAGAGCTATTTGAACCCATTTGGACTTCAGTTAACGTTTTAGCATGCAGAGGACTTTCCACTACAGATTGTTCTTTATTATTGTTATCTGCAAATGTTATTTCATCACTAAATTTTATCTCTTTGATAGTTGATTTCAGCTGTTCGACGTTTGTATTTAGAGGTAGTTCTTTTAACCCTTCAGTACTATTTTGGTGGCAACTAGAACCATTTGAATAAATTTGGACTTTATTTAAAGTTTCAGCATGCAGAGGACTTTCCAGTACAAAATCTTCATTATTATTGTTACCCGCAATTGTCATTTCGTCACTAAATTTTATTAGTTTGATAGTTGATTTCAGATGTTCGACATTTGCACTTGAATGTAGTTCCTTTAGTACTTCAGTACTATTTTGGTGGCATGGAGAGCTATTTGAACCCATTTGGACTTCAGTTAACGTTTTAGCATGCAGAGGACTTTCCACTACAGATTGTCCTTTATTATTGTTATCTGCAAATGATATTTCATCACTAAATTTTATCACTTTGATAGTTGATTTCAGCTTTTCGAGGTTTGTATTTAGAGGTAGTTCTTTTAACCCTTCAGTACTATTTTGGTGGCAACTAGAACCATTTGAATAAATTTGGACTTTATTTAAAGTTTCAGCATGCAGAGGACTTTCCAGTACAAAATCTTCATTATTATTGTTACCCGCAATTGTCATTTCGTCACTAAATTTTATTAGTTTGATAGTTGATTTCAGCTGTTCGACGTTTGTATTTTGAGGTAGTTCCTTTACTTCAGTACTATTTTGGTGGTAACTAGAACTATTCGAATCCATTTGGACGTAAGTGTAATTGTCTGAAATGGTTATGTTTTGATTGCAAGCAGGTGGTTGGTCAATGTTGGTTTTTGTTGGTCCAACCGTAGCATCTTGGGATAAAACAGTTACTGAAGATTCCATTTTTGCCAAGACTTTAGATTGCATTGGCAGTTTATTATTCAATATGTTGTTGTTTAGCACCATTATTCCTAGATCGAAAAAACATAATTATTTGATTGTGATACAATGTATAGGTCTAAAAATTAAAAATTTTATAATAAATCACTTTATTGTAACAAGTTTTTATACAACTGGGAGGAATGTGGAACATGACAAATTAGGAATGATGTTCCGTATTAGGTGAACATTTAAATAACAAAAAAAATTTAATTAACTTTCTAAACGATACATCTTTATACGAGCCCCTTCCCATATCAGTTGACCCCCCTTATGGAATTTACAGTCAACGTTTTGTATTGAAAATTGAGTTCAGGAAAAATCATTGAAATTTTCAATAATTTTTTAGGTTATGTTAATAATTTTTGGCTAACTTTTAAATAGTAATTTTTCATGTATTTTTTTTTTTCGTTGTTTTAAATGGCCAACACTATTATCATAAAATTTCAGGTAGACTACTAATTACCTACCAATCTCCTCAAAGAAATATATCAATTGCAACTTCTGATACGGAAACACTCAATCAAATATTGAACAAGAGAATATGAGCTCTAACATCATAATACTTTAGTGATATTATCGTTATAATTTTAATATTTTTTAAGTAAGAAGTGGTGTTATATAGTAGCATTGTTTAAAAAGGACTCATTCTTTTTTAAAAAATGATGGTAGTGTCGTATTAATAGGTAGAAATGTTTCAACACCTCATGGACCTCGTAAATACGCATGCCCGAAAAAATAAATGGATCCTAAAAACATGCACCATTTTAATTTCATAGAAAATTGGGCGACAGGGTGCCCAATTTGCACGTGCTAATGATGGCGAGTATTTCCAATAAACATGACATTATTATGTTTCTCTAATCTTAAACATTCCAGTTAGTCATCGCATTTTTATTTTATTTCGCATTGAAAGATGTAATAAAAATTTACGACTTCTTGTCTTCACTGCCAATAAGAATTGCTGTGTAAAAATGTAAAATATTTACATTGCACTAATTTGGCTTGTAAATAAACCTTTAAAGAACTGAAAAAAAATCTAGAGGATAAATAAATAACCAATTAATGTATGATAGAAAAATAATAGGGTTTTGGTTTTAAATTTAGCAAAATATGTTTATACGAGACGAAAACCTCGAATTTCTTGGAAAAAATATTCGCATGAGATTTTTTGCAATCACTTTCATAAAAGACCACAGAATAATGTTCAAGAGGTCGCTCATACAAAAAGTGGTCCTAGTTTATTAAACAGTTTTGTATAAATCGATTTTTAGGTTGAGATAAGGGCCTCAAACAACGAAAAACAATGTTTTAAAATCAAATAAGCCCAAACTAAAGTATCAGAAACTGATAGAACAAGGTTTGGTGAATTCAAAAATAATTGTGTATTTTTAAGCCATTTTTCGTTTTTTTTTTCAGTTTTAGATTGTTTATAAGTTATAAAATAAAAATATAAAAATAAAAATATTGAAGCTATTTCACTAACTCAAAAACTAGTTCGTAGATCGACGTCACTAAATGATTACGTCAGGTCCAGGACATTATGAATTATCAAATACAAAGTTTGAGAAGACATTATTCAAATATCTTTTCTAAGAAATATATGGCCGGAGCGAATTTACCTTTGCCCCTTTTCTGTGGGGTATTAAAAACTGACCGCGGGAGCGAACTAGTATACAACCCTATTTTTATAATAGTTTACCTAGCCAGCTGTTACCTCTATGGCTTTAAAAAAAATGTAAAGCAATTGCTACTTCACGATGTCATATATTCCCCAGAGGAGTTCTCTCAATAATTTTCTTTTTTTTAACTAATATTTATTGGATAATAATTATTAAAATAAAAATATTTAAAGCATGTTTTTAACACTGATGTTCTAAAAAATGTGAGATAATGAAAGTAAATAGTTATACAAATGCTTGTACAATTCAAAACAATAACAGAGCGCATGAAATATATAATCGATTTATGAATAATCAAGAATTCCACTGTATTATACTGTAAATAGTACCAATTATTACTGTATGAAATGAATATTTTCAATGATAACCACTCCCTACAATCTTGACTGCTATTGCATGCTCCTCACACTTTTTGTTTTGAAAGTAAAAGAATTTTGATGACTATTTAAATTCACTAGCACATTTTTTTAAAAAGATTTTTATTTTTTTAATCTGTAGTTTTTAATCTGTAATCTTTTTAGTCCATTATAAAAACGTTTTTATTTATTTCTTTTTAGATTTAATTGATTTTTTGCTTTTAGTCTTTGGGATTTATGTAGGGCCGAGGGGGCATTTTTCAACGTGGGGTGGATTTGAACAACTCAAATTTCCCTCTTATAAGTGATTTTTGTTGTGTTCACAAACGTAACAGCGAAAGTAAGGTTTTTGGTATTTAAACGCATCTGTGTGTAATTTTGGTTGTAAGGATAAAACAAGCAAAATATTCGGAACTTGGTGGTGTTGCTGGGGTTTTTAAACGTATGTGTTCGATATTAAACCTCGTAATTCTAACCCTAAATTTTTAACTTTCCTAAATTTAAAATCTGCAGTTGCGAGGCACATTTAAACAACAGGAATGAGATACTTTTGAACTTTGTTCGAAGGTGCCCCATTACCGCAAGCTCTATTAGGAAGAATTAAAATTAATGTTAAATGTGGATTTTTAAGAATTGAGATGGTACGTACATACAAAAGAAAACGTGCAGAAGTGCCTCCAACTGCAGATGATATTCAAAATGTCATACAAGCAGTGGAGGATGGCATGAAACTCCGCACGGCTGCTGCAACGTTTGGAATTAAATATACAACACTACTTTATAGAATAAAAAGGAAACAAGAACTAGAAAGGGCAGAACAAAATGGTGTAGTTTATAATGATCTGTGGAATTATTCAAGTTTCTATTCTACTGGTCAAGTTTTTAACAAAACTGAAGAAGACCTATTAGTTAGTTATTAATTAAAATCTTCAAAAATAAATTACGGTTTAACATACACCCAAATCAGAATTTTGGCTTATGATTATGAAAACAAACCTATATGCACCAGTAAATGGTATGCCAATAAAATTGTTAGTATAGACTGGCTGCAGTGTTTTAAAAACAGCACCAAAATTTGGCATTGACGAAACCCCAAAAACACCAGCCTTAGGCGAGCTACCAGTTTTACAAAAGAAAATGTTGGGATATTTTTTGACAATTATGAACGTGCTCTTTCAACCCACGATTTCACACCTGAAAGGATCTATAACTTAGACGAAACTGGTATCAGCACTATTCTGCAAGCTCCAAACATTGAAACGCAAAAGGGAATCAAACAAGTTGGGCAGATATAGGTGACATACTTTTCCACCCCACACCTCACATCGCCTTATACCGCTAGATATAGCGGTTTATTCGTCATTTAAATATAGGTTTTAGAAAAACGGGCACTTGGCCCTAAACCGTCTTGTATTTTCGGATGACGATTTTGACAGTGCTTTTGTTACTGGCTGACCATCACCAGGAAATAATGTAAAAAACTCAACAGAAGCTGTTGTATCTATATCAACCCCAGTAGCACATGAAATTGAAGTTGTTCCATCTACATCAAGCACAGTAACACCTGAAATTGAAATTGTTCCATTTACAACAAACCCAATAACACCTAAAATTGTACGACCTTTCCCAAAGACTGCCCCGAGAAATAATATTAGAGCACGAAAAAAGGTTAAATCTAGAAGTTTTAACAGAAACACCAGAAAAAACAAAATTGAAGAAGAAACTCTAGCAAGAGAACAAAAACAACAGAAGTTGCAAGCAAATAAGCAAATAAGACGAAAAGGAACATTTGGAAGACTACTCCCACTACTGAGAAGAATGCGGAGTTACCACAAAGTGAAACTTCGGAATCCGATGAAGACATCGTTTATGCTAGTTCAGATGAATCGGAGGACTTCACAGAAATTACGAAATATGAACAGAATGACTATATTTTAGTGAAGTTTGGTAAAAAAAGGTGTGTAATTATTATGTGGGACATATCACTGAAATATTTTCTGTGAATTCAGAGTTTAAAGTTAATTTTTTGAAAAGAATTAAGCGTAAACGGACACGTTCAATGCCGACGAAGAAGAAGTGGAATTATGTTACCGAGATATCGAAGAGGCACTTTTAGGAGTCCGTATATGGAGAAGAGCAGCCACAGACAGACAAGGGTGGAGGCAAAAAATAAAGGAGGCCAAGGCTCATTTTGGGCTGTAGTGCCGTAGAAGAAGAAGAAGGCACTTAGAATAAAGAAAACAAGAGAAATCACGATAGTCCTAGGTGATCTCAATGCAAAGATTAGAAAGGGACAAAGCGGAAAGTGTATAGGAAACTATGGTCTAGAAAATCGAAACGAGAGATGAGACTGTCTGTTACAATTCTGTCAAGAGCAGAACTTGATTATTACAAACACATTTTTCAAGTTACCAAACAGACGACTGTATACATGGCGATTGCCCGCAGATACATCGGAGAAAGTAGTCAGGAACCAGATAGACTAATGAAAGATACTGTAATGCTGTTAAAGCTGTGAAAGCATATCCTGGATCAGACGTGGCCTCAGATTACAATCCACTTATCGCCAAGATTACACTCACCCTTACAAATATTAAAAGACATCAAAGAATCCCTACAATAGACACAAGAAAACTTAAAGAACCTAAAGTAAAAGAATGCCTCTAACATGAACTCCATGTGAACTGCAGCAAACTGAACATAAACACCAATGATATTGACGAGTATTGGGATCAACTAAAATATTGTCTACTGGAACCCTGTAAAGAAATACTAAAGACTTCCACAAGGAGACAAGAAAAATGGATGAATGACGAGATACTCAATATGATGGAACAACGGAGACCATTTAAAAACAAAGACAACAACAAATACAGAGAGATAAATCACGAGATCAGGAAGATAATAAAGCAGGCAAAAGAAAAAT